AGCACGTCTTCCCAATTTAGGAGTCTGTATATTTCAAAATCTATTATTCTACTCTCCTGCATCTTTCATTTCTCATTAGGTATTTTCTCAGAGTGCCTCAAAATGCTTAGACGCTGCTTTAACACAGTTCTAAATTGTTTCTTGGGGTTAGATTTAAAGCAAAAGAAAAATCCTCTTCCCCAGTTCCAGCACAGTTCACCTATTTCGCTCCAGCACCGATCTTAGTTGTTCTTCAGTTGTCCCAGCTTTGTGGCAGCCATCTTTAGGCTTTCTCTTCTTCTTGCCATGGCTGAGAGGGAAAAACAACCCAGGACCAGACAGGAGAGCTGCAATCTCACAGGATGCCCCTCTTTGCTTCACACCCCCCCCCCCAAGGGCTGCTTTGGCTCCCTCCGGAACCCACAAACAAGAAGAACTAGTACAGGAGATGCGGAGACCTGTTCCCTGTGTCTGAAAAACACCATGCTGACAACCGGAAGTCTTTCATGTTGACACATAACCATATAATCTTTTTACTTTTATTGTATGACCTCAGAAGATAATTGTCTTAAATCAATAAAATACTGCCAATTGTTAGAACTTTGTTCTAAAATTATACTTAAGAGATTCTCTAAAAACAGTTGTTCAGGATATATTTTATCATAGTATACATTTCTGCCTGTATCTGTATGAGGGGATACAATTACCAAAAACATTCACTTCAAAAATCAGCATGGAGATTGTGCTCATATTAAAATAGTTTTTAAAAAAGATTACATTACTGGAATAAGAAAAAAGACATTTAAAGGGAGATTTGAATACCATTTTTAAATTACATTTCCCAAGATTAATTTAAACCTAATGCTTATAAATCTGTAATCAAATTTATAAATATGTTGTTGCAAATCCCTTATTTTTCACAAGGATATCCTTGATTACTAATAATTTACCATATAGATGCTGTGATTTATTTATAAAATTAATACTCACTGTAACACTGGTAACTCTGAAGTAATCATTTTGTTGCGTACTATGACCTGCTAATGTAACCAAAAAGATATCTTGTAGAGGTATCTATCTGTCAATGTCTTCGTAATTATTTTCAAATCCAACCTATAAATAAAACAAAAAATTATTAAACACCGCTTTGAAGTTAAAAGATAAGATCCAAAACAACCAAAATTTTAAAAATCTGAAAAAAGGTTTCTCAAGAAACCTTGAGAGAATGACTTAGTGTTTGGAATATTCAAAATCAAAAAGAAGCATTCAAGCCAATTTAGATTACATTCTAGTCAAACAGTCTGATTGTGTTTTATAGTCATGTGAAAAAGAAAATAAACCCTCTTTGAGTTATATAGTTTTACATATCAGGATATAGTAAAAATCATCTGGTCCTTAGCAGTTCTTAAAAGTAGGTAAATACAACCTCAGATGAACAATACATGATGTATTACACCATGTCATCATTTATTTTATAAAAAGAAAGACAACATGGAGAAGCCACGTGTGAAAAACTAAGTATACCCTTACTGCTTCCATAGGTATGAAGAGGTTAAGTAGCAGCCAGATACTGATAATCAAGTTCAACTGATCACCAGTAAGTGTGGCTACCTGTATAAAAGTCGAAGTTTTGAAATTTGCTGGTCACCAGCATGTGTTAACACAATGCCAAAGTGTTTTCCTGAAAATAAGACCACCACCACCACCCCGAAATAAGCCCTTGGCTTTATTTTTGGGGAGGTCTTATTATTTTTGAGGTGCAGGAAGCAGCGAGCGTGGTCATCTCATGACTGCTGCTGTGTTGCAATATTTTTAGGGAGGGCTTATTTTGGGGGAAATAGGGTAAAGACATCAGCAATGATCTTGGAGAAGCAATCATTGCTGACCAACAATCTGGAAAGGTTTATAAGCCAATTTAAGGTCCATTATTCTACAGTGAGGAAGATTATTAAGTGGAAAACATTCAAGACAGTTGCCAATCTTTCCAGAACTGTGCAATGCTCAAAGAAATTGCATAACATCCAAGAGTTACTTTTCAGACTCTACAGGCCTCAGAGTTAGCATGCTTATGTCAAAGTTTATGACAGTAAATCAGAAAAAGATTAAACAAGTATGATTTCTTTAGAAGAGGAGAAATCCTCATCTCTCTAAAAAGAACACGGCAACATGGCAGCATGGCTTGATTTGCAAGGTTGTATCTGAGCATATCACAAGATTTCTGGAACACCATCCTTTGGACCGATGACACCAAAGTAGAGAAGTTTAGCCATAATGCACAGTGCTATGTTTGGCGAAAACCAAGCACAGCATATCAGCATAAACATCTTATACCAACTATAAAGCACGGTGGTGGAGGGGTGATGATTTGGGCTTGTTTTGCAGCACAGGACCTGGGCATCTTGCAGACCTTGAGTCAACCATGGACTCCTCAGTATATCAAGGTATTCTAGAATTAAATGTGACACCATCTTTCTGGCAGCTAAAGCTTGGCCAACAATGGGTCATGCAACAGGACAATGATCCCAAGCACACCACCAAATCTACAACACAATAGCTAAAAATGAAAAGACTAGAGGAGTTGCACTGGCCCAGTCAATATCCAGAGAGATGTGCAAATGCCTCCAAACCTCAACAAATTGAATCAATGTTGTAAAGAAGAATGGGCTAAAATTCCCCTACAATGATGTGAAAAACTAATAAAGTCATACAGAAAACTATGTTATTGCTAAAAGTGGTTCTACAAGCTCTTGAATCATAAGGTGTACTTAATTTTTCACACATGGCTTCTCCATTTTGGCTTTCTTTTTATAAAATAAATGACAACATAGTGCAATATGTCATGTGTTGGTAATCTGAAGTTGTATTTACCTACTTTTAAAAACTGCTAAGAACCAGGTGATTACCTGAAACATAAAACCATAGAACTCAGGGGATGTATTTTCTCTTTCACATGACTGTACATCAGTATAATATAACTTAGACATTATTTCATGTGTAACTATTTAATTCATTTATTATTCCCCTGCTGTCTATTCAGTTACAACACTGAAGATGGCTAATAGTTAAATGTAGAATCTAACACGAACACCAACACCACCCTGCCAAAGAAATAAGTTAAAAGCTATGCAAACATTAATAATTAAAAGAATGACAAAGGAAATGAGTCATGTTTGTTTTAAAGGGAAAAAACACAACGGGTCAAACACAACTCCCAAGAGAATGCCCTAGTCAGTTTTGAAGTAGTATATGTATATATGTGGAGAGAGTGCAGGTGAGTCATAGAACACCTAAAATTGTGTGTGTCGCTGCATTCTGGATCCATTGCACCTTCTGGATGGTCTTCAAAGACAGACCTATGTAAAACACACTGCAATAATCCAAACAGAAGGTGACTAAGGCAGACTTCCCCAACCTTGGGTGGGGGATGGTTCCACAAGAGCAGCAGGCAAGCACACATGTGTGCACAGCTTCATTTGTGCGAGTTTGTGGGCAGGCACACCTATCTCTCACGCAAATGGAGTGCACATACATTCAGCTGCTGCTCGCACAAGTGGGGATGGTGTATGCGCATGCTCAGCCACCAATTCTGTGCCCCAGTTCCAAACTGCTGAAGGTCCAGTAATGGGCCATGGCCTGGGGTTTTGAGTCCCCTAGACTAAGGCATGTGTGACTGTGACTAAGGTCTCCAAGTTGTGTGACTAAGGTCACTCGGGAGTGGGGGGATCACTCTGTCTTGCTAGGGTTGACTCACAACTGGTTTCTCTCCATCCAGGCTCTTACAGCCTCCAGGGACTGATTATTTCTTTATGATATAGAATAGGGCCAGAAGCATAATATATACATAGAAAGAAATGATATTTTTAAAAAAGAACAAATCATTTTGAGAAAAAAATCTAGGAGGAATAGCAAAAATCCACTCAGTAATAGTTGAATACACTTGGTGTATACAGAAGGATAATTACTGGTGAGAACTAATGAGAGAAGAGAATGGAATGATGTATCTGCAATTCTGAAAAACACTCAACACTATATATGCATAAAACAATTCTACATTTCATATCATTGAAACAATTATAGAAAGTTTAAAAATATGTAAATCAATTGCACTCCCCAGAACAGTGGAGTTAGGGACAGAGAAAGGATGGAATTGCTTGCTCGACGTCTTTTCTTCTCCTTGTTTAGCAAAGACATCTCTCCTGCAGCAGGATAATTAAACTTTTGCCCAGCTTTTCTGCTTTCCATCTCCTAGGTTGTTCTAGGCTCTCGTCTCAACCAAGCTTTGTCAGAATCACAGTGACACTTCAGATGCAATACCCACTAGACCCTTGGGGAGGGGAGGCTGTACCTGGAAGGAAGCACCATTTGATGTGAGATCTCAAGAAGTAACTGCATAGTATAACCAAGTAAGCCCTTTTGAGCTGGGCCATATTCCAGTCTAACTGTGCCCTAGCAACCTCAGTTCCTACAAAGTATTTTTTGTGGGCTACAGAAATTGCTTTAAAGGTGCAAGCAGCCCATTGGCTGTAAATTTGAGGTCTCTGTTACATCTAAGTACAGGTGTCATAATTAATTTCTGCCTCATTGGAAATGAACAAGCAATGTCAGTTCCCTCATCCTCCAAACATAACATAACCAGAACTTTTTGAATTGTGGATAATCTAATTCAAAGGGGACTCTTTAAAGAGAAAAAAAGCAGAAACAATATGGAAGCTGAATAAAGATAAAATGGATTTTTAGTTATTAATAAAATATTCAAAGACTAAGTATGTGTAGAATTGTTATCTGACCTTCCAACTACAACCCATATACCATATATAGGTTTGGGAACTTCTATGTTTAAATGAACAATTCTGCTAATCTACAATTTATCATAAACCAATGCTGTAACACTAAAATAATAGTAATTTCTTTTGTTTGCAGTATGAATTCTACTTGGAACACTAACCATCTATTTTATAGCTTCTATATTTCTCTTTTCTTCATCAGGCATATTAGTGTGCATTAACAGCCAGATCATATATATACAACATTGCTTGTGACCTACTAGAAAGTTGCTATAGCAACCACTGCTTTCAGCAATACATGTTATGCATTTTAAGTACCATCAGAGTGAGTATAACATGCCTGTCATTAACAAGCATAGCTTATAATAGCTCAAAATGAAATATTAACCAAAAATAAGTATAGTTTGCAGATAGAAAAAACTAATTTAATATCTAACTTAAATTATCTTAAGAATATTTAACCTAGAATCAAAAATAAAACTATTTATAGAATATAAAAGCCACTTGTGACTGAATATCAACTAGTAGTGAAATTAGAAACTACAATTAAACAGCTTGAATTTGAACTCTTAAAGGAAAATATCTACAATGGTAGTATACTATAAATAATAGTAAATTGCAATTTAATACTTATTGACAAATATGAATGACTTCACTCAAGGTCATTCATATACAACAGTAAATACACAAGGAAGAATTAGCCTCTACAAATTGTTAGCTTACATCTCACTCTTCCCATGTGACCAGCAAACAGAATAATACTAGGCATTTGTTCATTCTAGCAGATTCCAGGCTTCCTTAATAAAACTCTAGTTTATTAAACTATAAGAACAAACTAATATTTGTAATTGGCTATACGTAGTAATATTTTTGCTAAACATGATGGAGATGGAAGAATCTGTGTTCAAGCTTGACATCTCACATATAACTATTTCTATATATAATCATAAATAATAATGTTAAAATATAAACATCTTAATTAGTATTATGAGTTGGAGTGGCATTTTATTGCCACAATTACATTTTAAAAATTGCCAAATTGTTGCCATTTGACAACTGCTCAAAAAGAATCTTGAGCCCCCTCTCTGGCTCCAGGGGAACTGATGCACCTAATCTTTTCATATCTAAGAAGAACAATGAGGGTCCTTAATACTCTTTGGTTGCTTTCTTACAGATGTTTCATTATCCAGACTAGATAACATCATCTGTGGGGGAATGGAGTTTGCTCTCAATTTATATTATAGTGCAGGGGTGTCAAACTCACAACATCACATGATTTATCAGGACTTTTCTCCTTCACTAAACCTGGTGTGGGCGTAGCCAGTGTGTAACGCAAGCTGTGAGTTTGACAGCCTAGTTATAGTGGCTTGCCCTGT